TTGTCAAATGGGGAGAGGTTCAGGAGTTTATGAACACTCACTATCCAAACACAGCTGAGGCCAACAGGATCAATGATCTCTACAATGACACTCTTGCCTGTCATTTCCGACAGGTGTTGAAGAAGAGAGAGAAACAGACCACCTTGGACATGTTTTTCAAGAAGCCAGCTGCCAAAAAACAAAGGATGGAACAAGAGTTGACCCTGCAAGCTCTGGTAGCCTCTCCTGAATCTGACTTCGATTAAAAAACAATAAAAAGAGACCTGCTGCAATGTGTAAAAAGTCTGTATCTGTATGAATGTGTGAAGAAAATGTTCTTCCACTTCCTCCTCATAACATCTGACTACCTGGCATAATTGGTGACTGCTCAATTTTTTTGTTTTTTAATGGTACAGTACAGTTATTTTATGCTATGGAACAAATTATATGTTTTAACATGTATTTCTATGGGAAAATGCATTTTGTATAACGGACTTTTCACTTAACGGACATGCACCTGGAACAGATTAAGTACGTTATACGAGGCACCATTGTATGTGTATACATCTATAAACATCTCAAAGCCCAATATAATGGTAAAGTAATCCAATTCATTATGGCAATTATTTGATTTACAGAGATGTGTTTCTTAACAATAGATTGCCTATATGATGGGAAGTCCCATAAAATTAAAATTATAATAGAGCTGAAAAATTTGAAGATACCATAATAGCTTGCAACAGTGTTGGCTAAACATTAATGCACGAATAAAAGATACATAAGGTGTGTCCAAAAAGTTTATGGGATAAAGTATTTTTAAAAAATTTCTGAACAACAAGTACTATAATTTATTGCTGTTATAATTGCACTATGAATATAATTTTACAATAAATTAAACAAATTTTAAACATCAAAACATGAAATACCATATTTTACTGTACCTTTTCTATGTTTAGATAAATAAATACTTATCATTGTGTTACATATAATCTATAAGAGTGGTAGATTATGCCTTGTAGATGTGTCTGAGTCAGTGGCATACCGTGGATGTCAGCCGCCCGGGGCGGAGGAAAATTTCGGCCCCCCTTATTTAGATATTTCAATTTAAAAGACTAAAATTCAGTTTTGTCACAGAACAAGCAATGAAAAATTCGGTGGTAGTGCAGCGACCTGTTTAAAATAGTTCTATTGGATATTAGTGGTGTATATGAACGTGAATGAATCATACAAGAAAAAAAAAACAAAAAGATCAACAGGTTTCGCAGGAATTCCTCGGATGAAACAACTACTAGTTCACCCAGAGAGCCAATTCCCGGACTGTCCGGACGATAGCACTATCGTAGGCGCGATGCAAGTATAGATTAGGATGTTTCAAATTTTTACAAGATATTATTATTATTTATTTTGAAATTTTGCCGCCCCCTAAAAAGTGCCGCCCCTGCCGTCCCCACTACGGTACGCCACTGGTCTGAGTACATCCTATGATGTTCACTTAATGACATATTTCTTGGAACATACACCTGTTGTTAAGCGATGCATACCTATATTTGGAAAATACAGAAGAATCCACTTATTATAATCACTTTAGAGTTTGCCTATACTTATAATAATAACCAGTTGATAACATTAAGTAAGGGAAATAAATAAGACCACAGTTAATGGAATTTAATTTTATTAATTGGACATTAAAAGAATACATTGAAATATTCACATTTGTGTTATTTATAAAATAAAAATCTAAATTCAGTATTATTTAAAATGATGGTATGGTGTATTCTGATCAGAGCATTTTTTAATAAAATACAGTGGAACCTCGGTATACGTCTGCTTTAGAATACGTCCAATTCGGAATACGTCCTGTTTGGACGAAACAAATTTTGCTCGGTATACGACTTTTGTTCGGTATACGACATAATTCAATTATACGTACCATCAATGAACAAGTAGCACTATCGGTGTACTAGACCAGACTAGACGTTCGCGGTGCAACGGTTTATAACTTTGTTAAATTTCTTCTGATTTTAATTCGTAAGTAAAATTTTATTATTTTTATTACTCACGAATCGCAAAAAGGCAAATGAAAAGCAACAGAAAACTAAAAAAATTACTAGAATTACAATGGAACTGATGAAAGAAATTGTTGAGAAATACGAAGGTGGCACACGTGTTCGAGATTTTAACTGTTGTTTATCGTATTCCGAGAACGACGATATGGACAATCGCGAAAAATAAAGACATTATTAAATCTGCTAACGTTGCAAAAGGGGTTAAATCAATTTCTAAACAGAGATTGATCATGTCGAGAAATTGCTTTTGCTTTGGATAACTGAAAAACATGCTGGAGACAGCGTATCGGAAGCAATTATTTGCGAGAAAGCTAAAAAGATACATGCTGATCTCACGAAAAATCAAGCAGGAACTAGCCAGGAAAGCGAGGTGTTTAAAGCCATCCATTTTTTTACACGAGAACAGATTAATCATTTTTACATTACTTCTTATGGGAAAAGTTGGTTTGGTATACGTCCAATTCGGTATAAGTCCAAACATCGGGAACGGATTAAGGTCGTATACCGAGGTTCCACTGTATATAAAAGTACTTACTCTCATTTCTGATAATTCCAAAAAGTATATGAATCATTTTTATTCATTTATCCTGAAAAACTAATATTTAGTTGAATATTTTTTCCTGCACAAAATACACTAATTAAAGCTGAAAATATTTATTTCTGTCATTATTTATTTTATATATATTTCTATTAACATTTGATTATTTTTACAAAAATAATATAATTTATTCCCAGAATGGGATCTAGATTATTATTTTCTTATCATATTTATCTAAATATAAAATTTTTAAGTTAATATTTTGAATAAAAGTTTAATATCATAATTTCAGGTTCTAATGAAATTAATAAAAAAGTATCACTTTTTGAAGGAGATATCACTAGTTTAGAAATAGATAGTATTGTTAATGCTGCTAACAACAGACTTTTAGGAGGAGGAGGAGGTGAGAATATTAACTTTGTTAATTCTAGATAATTATTATTTATAAAATAATTAATATAATAATGAGGAAAGAAAGGTAATTGCACCTCATACCAAATAATGATCTAGTGTAATGTTACAATGTAACATATTCTGTCTTATAGCATTAAAACCAAGGTTTTATTAAAAAATTGCAAGTATTTTTGATAGTTTACAATTATCCTCTTTAGGCTGATTTGATGTGAGTTTAAAAGAATCAGCCTGAAGAGGATAATTGTAAACAGTTGAAAGTACTTGCAAATTTTGAATAAAATGTTTATTTTAATGCCATAAGACAGAATTTGTTACATTGTCACTTACACTAAATCAGTGTCTTTCAACCTGTGGGTCGCAACCCGCACGGGGGTCGCAAAGCCTCACATGGGGGTCGCGGGTGAAAGAAAAAGACAAGTGTTTGTAGGTGCTACACTACAATAAAAAAAAACTAGAATTTCAGTGAAAAGGCTGTGTCTGTTTATTTTACAGTACAATTGGTTTTTCGATCGATATTTAAAGAAAGAAAATTAAATACGTAATTTTTAAAATCACTGATATACTTTTAATATGATCCTGGGGGTCACCAGATTTTTTTAACTTGTAAAGGGGTCGCATATTCAAGAAGGTTGAAAAACACTGCACTAGATAATGGAGAAATTTACATAAATTAATAAACAATTTAATAAATTTGGTTAGTATAAATAATGCTACTTTGCGTTTACTTTTCAATTATTTACTGTACTTGTACTTTAATTATAATAATAATAATAATTTACATTTAGTAGTAAAGATATTTATTTTTATATTTAATTATTTGCTTTTACTTTGGTTAATTTTCAGTTCTCATGTTCATTTCAACTCTTTTTCCTGTAATGAAGGATCCAATTCAT